GATGCCTGGGGCTGGCTTGAGTGGTACCCTGAGACACTACACGAAGGCTGGGATTCAGAGCAAGAACCTGGACAATGCCATGGCAGAGACCCGTAAACCTCAAAAGGTTTAGAGCGTGGGTTTAATTCAAATATTAAACCTTCACTTCTTATTTTTAGAAATGCTGATGAACCTCAAAATGTCCCTTTGAAACAGGGAAGCGGACAGGTAAATATTGTGTCCATTTTACAGATGGTGAAACTGAAGCCCTGACAGAGTAAGTGATTCGCTCACGTCTACACAGGGTGTCAGACCAGAAGCAGAAGGGATTCTTGACTTCCTGCCTTGAGTCCCTATCACACCTTTAGCCTCTTAACCAGATGCCTGGTGCCTTCTGGACCACAAAACCAAGCTGGGGATCTCCTGAGATGTTAAGTGTTGGAGACACCATAAAATACCAGTCTTTCTGATTGCACTTCAGCACTGCTATTGAAAAAAAAATCTTTTAAAAAATCATCTGTTACAAGATCTCTTTTCCAGCTTGCTTCTAAAAATAAACAGAGGTTAGACAGAGAATGGGGTAAACTGCCTATTTTGTCACTGATTCTCTTCCAGGTTCTGCCACCAACTCGACCTTGCTTTGGCCAAGCCACTTGAATCTTTCTGTAAAGAGGGACTAATAATTTCCTACCACTGAGGGAAGACTATATAGAGCTGAAGGACTAAGTAGCCTTACTGGAGTCATCTCACTTATCCCTAATGCCACTGGAATAAGACTAAAAGTAAAAAGGGGAAAAAAGGGGGGAATAAAGCACTTCCCCTCCAAGGTGACAGAAGAGTTAACAGGGCCACTCCATCACATCTGCTTTTTATTATTAATCACAGACTCAAGGACAAATGGACTGAAAGCTCCACACTACTGCAGTCAGGCTGCCGAGGGTATTTATGCCAACTGTGGATACATTTATATCTATCTATCTATCTATACAGATAGATAGATAGATTTTGCCACAAGGAAAAATGCAATATAAGAAACGAGGAGGCTGTTTCAGCCTGAAGATCAGAACTTTCTGCTTCTTACAATGCTGTAAAATAAAATTTGCTAGCACAAGCCACAAGAAAAAAAAAGTGATTCACCAGGGAAGTTCCATGATGTGCGGGACAATGGGTCTTAAATCAAAGGCATACATTATCATGACTAAGCTGACAGATCTGCACTGCAATGCAGAAAGCCAAGCAATATTCCAACATCTGCACCATGCACACACAGGCGGCTAAGACACGGCTCCCAGAATGAAAAAAGGCTCTTCAAGCTCTTACCTGTTACCTGTGCAACAACTGCTTGGGAAATCCTCCGATTGGCTAGAAAGGCTTTGATTTCCTCCTTTATCACGCTGCTGTCCCTCCTACCAAAAACAAAACAACAGCAAAACAACAAAGACAGACAGACACCCAAGTGCACTTTGAAGATGTACAATGGCTTTGGACGGGAGGGAGGGGGATGGGAGTGGGGGTGCGGGTCTGCCTTTCCAATAAAACAGTCGAAGCATCTCGCCAGTGGACACTTCTTTAAACAAGTGTCATGTTTGATCAAAGTATCCGAGGAGGAGAATGGATGACTCGTGTCCTATATAATTCATACGAGGTGCAGAACTGCCATATGGAATGCACAAAGTTTCATTACACAGGGAGGAATAAATCTCTCGCACCAGCATAAAAACCTCAGTCATAAAATGAGGCACAAAAAAAAAACCAACCTAAAAAAGATAGCAGGGTCTGCATGGTTAGCTACACAAATGAGCCTATATACAAGCCTGTTGCAACATTTCGATAAGTGGAGCTGAAGGATATAAAAGATTTTGCCAGCTCCAGCCCTCTCCCCACCCTCCAAGCAGTGGACGTGTTGTACTGAAGGAAGACATCCCAGTCCTTGTTGCATCCCTTGTCTGTCTGCAATGATGATTTTGAAAGTGTGTGGAGAGATGGTTCAGAAGGGACTGAAGAAACTCTGCTAAAAGCAAAATCGACTGGTTGCACAGGGACCCTAATGTGCAGCAAACTTAACCTGCAGTAAACCAACACCTTCTCCTGTGCAATTTAACATCGTATTTATTTAGGTTCTAACACCAGGGACTTTCTTCCTTCTTATAGGAACGTGTTTTCCCTTTGGCTCTTCCTGAACAAGTGGCTAAATATCGATCTGGCCAGATCTGAGCTTGCAAGCGTGGGTGAAAGACAAGCATTGCAGGCTCATCCCCTCTTCTACTCCCAAACCCTGAGCCTCCCCGTATGAAAATACAAGTTTCTAGCCGACAAAGCACCAGCTGCTGTCTGGGATGTCACACTCATGAACCCAAAACTCACGGACAGGGACATGTCAGAAAGAGGCTCCTGCCATTCTTGATCTCACTGCCCTATTCCAATCTGCGGAGCTCCCAGCCACGTGTATTTTCCCGCTCATCTCTTTACACCGCTGACCCAGACCACGTCTTCACCCTGCATCTCCAAAATCCTCCCTAAAATAAACCTCCTCCTGTACTCTCCACAATGTCACAGTCACCACGTGTATACAAGGAAACAAGAAATTCCAAAATCAAGAAAAGCATGGGTGTTATACATTATATTTTAGTTGGGTTTTTTTTGTTGGATCTCATCCCCCATCTCTTGTCTTACATATTGTCTATCACAATCATAGCTCCTTATTGTCAGGCTTATTCTCCCCTTACGCTTTCCCATATTGCTCTGAGTGGGACCCTGACTAACAGAGAAGGGGGTCTAATGTGGAAACAAGAACAATGCTCCTGACTGCAAGCTCTTTGATGAAGAAATCTTAATATTCATTATTACGACTCTTGATATGATACAAGGCCCTGAAAAGAGGTAGGGCCTGCCCTAAGACTGACAAGGGATAAGCTTTGATGCCCTGTGAACTGCAAGAGAAAACACCAAGCAATTCCTTCTTCCTCCTATACAGTATGGAGGGAGAAGGAATTTGACTGATACGAGTCAGTGGTGGAGGATCTTACGGGAAGGTGAAGGGCAAAGGGATTCGGAATGAGGATCGGATGGAAACAAAGCACACTGAGATAAAGAAGTCAATCTAGTCTTTGGGGAATAGCCTGGCACACCAAACGGATGCCTGATGTGTACAGGGTTTTGAAAGGCAGAGTGAGGCATGTTAACTTAAAACAGTGGCCAGCAGAGACAGAACTGCTTAAAAACCAGCTCCTGCACTACTGACAACACACGTAACAATTCAAGCAGTCCCCAGACGCTCTATCAGGGCTTCAGCCCCCCGAGACGCAATCCTATTCTTAAAGGAATCATTGCATTGACTTACTGAACCGTCCGCACAGAGTTTCACTCACCTCATC